GGACATAACACTGGACACTGAGGAAATCCAAACAATTTTCAGGTCATACTTTGAAAACCTGTACTTCACAAAATTTGAAAATTCAAAGGAAATGGACAAATTTCTGGATAACTATCACTTACCAAAATTAAATCAAGAACAGACAAACAACTTAAATAGACCTATAACCCCTAATGAAATAGAAGCAGTCATCAAAAGCCTCCCAACCAAAACAAGCCCAGGGCCAGATGGCTTCAGTGAAAAATTATACCAGAAATTCAAGGAAGAGCTAATACCAGTACTCCTCAAATTGTTCCACACAGTAAAAACAGAAGTTTCATTACCAAACTTTTTTTACGAGGCAAAAATTACCTTGGTACCCAAGCCACACAAAGACACAACTAAATAAGAAAACTACAGACCAATATGCCTCATGAACATTGATGCAAAAAATACTCAATAAAATACTGGAAAACAGAGTCCAAGAACATATCAGAGAAATCATCTACCATGACCAAGTAGGCTTCATCTCTGGATTGCAGGGATGGCTCAACATACAAAAATGTATCAATGTGATCCACCATATAAACAAACAGAAAAAGAAAAACCACATGATCATCTCACTAGATGCTGAAAAGGCCTTTGACAAAATTCAACACCCTTTCATGATAAAGGTCTTGGAGAGATCAGGGATAACAGGAACATACCTAAACATAATAAAAGCAATATACAATAAACCAATAGCCAACATCAAACTGAATGGAGAGAAGCTTAAGGCAATTCCTCTAAAATCAGGAACAAGATAAGGCTGCCCTCTCTCTCTCCATATCTCTTCAATATTGTACTTGAAGTTCTAGCTAAATCAATAAGACAACAAAAGGAGATCAAGGGGATACAAATTGGAAAGGAAGAAGTCAAACTGTCACTATTTGCAGATGATATGATATGATAGTTTCCATAAGTGACCCAATAAACTCTACCAGGGAACTCCTACCGCTGATAAACACCTTCAGATAAACTAAAAAAAAAAAAAAAAAAAAAAAAAAAAAAAAAAAATCAGTAGCCCTACTATATACAGATGACAAAGGGGCTGAGAAAGAAATCAGAGAAACATCACCCTTTACAACAGCAACAAATAACATTAAGTATTTTGGGGTAACGCTTATCAAACAAGTGAAAAACCTATATAGCAAGAACTTTGTGACTTTAAAGAAAGAAATTAAAGAAGATACCAGAAAATGGAAAGATCTCCCATGCTCTTGGATAGGTAGGATAAACATAGTAAAAATGGCAATCTTGCCGAAAGCAATCTACAGATTCAATGTAATTCCCATTAAAATCCCACCACAATTCTTCACTGACCTTGAAAGGATAATAATCAAATTTATATAGAAAAACAAAAGACCCAGGATAACCAAAACAACCCTTTACAATAAAGGAACTTCAGGAGGCATCACCATCCCCAACTTTAAGCTCTACTACAGAGCTATAGTTCTGAAAACAGCCTGGTATTGGCACAAAAATAGACAGGTAAACCAATGGAATCAAATTGAAAATCCTGTTATTAACCCACACACCTATGAACACCTGATTTTTGACAAAACATCTAAAAGTATACAATGGGAGGAGGAAAGGATCTTCAACAAAGGGTGCTGGCACAACTGGATAATGGTGTGTAGATGACTGCAGATAGACCCATGTCTATCACCATGCACGAAACTCAACTCCAAATGGATCAAAGACCTCAACATAAATCCCATCACACTGAACCTCTTAGAAGAGAAAGTAGGAGGTACCCTTGAAGAAATTAGTACAGGGAGACTGCTTCCTGAACATAACTCCAGTAGCACAGACACTGAGATTGACAATTAATGAATGGGACCTCCTCAACCCAAGAAGCTTCTGTAAGGCAAATGACACAGTTGACAAGACCAAATGGCAGCCCACGGACAGGGAAAAGATCTTCACCAATCTTATATCTGACAGAGGACTAATCTCCAAAATATACAAAGAACTCAAGAAACTAGTCACCAAAACACCAAATAACCCTATTAAAAAATAGGGTACAGAACTGAAGAGAGAATTCTCAATAGAGGAAATCAAAAAGGCTGAAAGACACTTAAGAAAGTGCTTAGCATCCTTAGCTATCAGGGAAATACAAATCAAAACAACTCTGAGATACCATCTTACTCCTGCCTAAAATTAGGAACACCAATGACAACTTATGCTGGAGAGGATGGAGAAAGGGGACCACTCCTCCACTGCTGGTGAGAGTGCAAACTTGTATAGCCATTTTGGAGATCAGTATGGCAGTTCCTTAGGAAAATGGGAATCAGTCTACTACAGGACCCAGCAATCCCACTCTTAGGCATATACCCAAATGATCCACATCCATGCAACAAAGACATGTGCTCAACTATGTTTGTAGCAGCATTATTTATAATAGCAAGAACATGGAAACAACCTAGATACTCCTCAACTGAAGAATGGATAAAGAAGATGGGGCACTTTTATACAATGAAATACTACTCTGTGGAAAAAAACAATGGAATCTTGAAATTCTCAGGCAAATGGATGGAGCTTGAAGAAACCATCCTGAATGAAGTAACCCAGGCACAAAAAAAAAGGAACATGGTACATACTCACTCATCTATGGATTTTAGACATAGAGCAAAGGATCGCCAGCCTATAATCCATACCTTCAAAGAAACTAGGATACAAGGAGGATTCTAAGAGATTGATATAAGGTCCTTCACATAAGGGGAAAGGAACAAGATCTCCTGAGCATATGGGAGGCCTAAGTGGGGTAGTGAGTGGAGAGGGAGCTAGGAGAAAGAGAAGGGAAGGAGAGGAAAGCACGTGTGACTAGGAAGATTTAGGGGTTGGAATAGACGAGAGGGGGTGAGAGACCATAAAAGAGGGAGCCATTATAGGTTTGAAGAAAAAACTGACTCTAGAGAAATGTCCAGAGGCCTACAAGACTGACCCCAACTAACAATTTGAGCAATGGTGGAAAGGCTACTATAAATGCCCTTCCCTGATAATGAGATTGATGACTAACTTATCCACCATCATAGAGCCCTCATCTAGTAGCTGATGGAAACAGAAGCAGACACCCACAATGAAACACTGAGCCTAACTGGAAACCAGATGCAGAGAGGGAGGACAGGATCGGGCTACAGAAACACATAGAGACAGATGACCTAAACAAGGAGGAGCTAATGGGCCCCCAGACTGATATCTGGGAATCCACCACTGGACCAACTCAGACCCCCTGAAGGTGGGTCTCAATTAGAAGGCCTAGGCAGTCTAAGGGACCTCTGACAGTGGAATCAGGTTGTATGCCTGGTGCACAAAAGGACTTTGGGAGAACATTCCCCATGGAGGGATACTCCCTTAACCTAGAGGCAGGAGGGAAGGCCTAGTCCCTACTCCAAATGACTTGACAGATTTAGATGACCCCTCCTGGAAGGCATCACCATACAAGTGGAGTGGGGGGCGGTTGGGAGGGGAGGATGGTAGGGGGATATGGGATGGTGGGAGAGAGGGAAAGAGGGAGGGAGGGGAGACGGGAGATTATAGATAGATTAAGTCAGATTATACATAGTTACCTATAGTAGTCAAAACTTAGAGTTAGGTTGGTGAGGTTTCTAAATATACAGACATGTATTTGAGATGAACAGGCATTCTTCAAATCTTTCAAAGACCCACAGAATATGGCATTTAAAATGGTTTAGGGTTTTTCTTCACAGTGAGGCACAACTGCTCCTGGCAATACCGCCTGTGTCAGAAAGGAAGATGGACATCAAAGAAACTCATTATGGAGTTTGCCTCCAATATGGCAAGACTAGCCATTTGGGCAAGAAACTGCTCTTTTCTGAACTATTTGACTTTATGCTGTATAAACTGGACCTGAAGGATCCACAAGAAAGTGACTGCTGATACAAGATGAACATTGCTACAAGATTCCTGCTTCATGGAAGGGTCTGCCAAACAGTCTACAGGACACAGAGGAAAGTGACTGACAAACTGCCAATATAGGTAGACAGTTTAAAGTTTCCTGCTTTGCTGAGGAGTCTGCCAGACACACTATGCCTATAGGCTGAAGATGGAACTTAACAGAAGAACTTCAGGTAACTGATCAGGTAGCAAGATGTCTCTGTCATTTCTAGAGTTTATATATTATCCTTCTGTGGTCTTTGATGGAGTTGAAGACAGATAGTTATGGTTATAGTTTTCCTTAGTTAGGATTAAAGATAAGTTACATATAGGACTTTAGACTCACAAAAATAGGATAGATAATAAAATAATTTCTTTAAATATTGCTAAATGTTAATGTACTAAATATTGTAAACTGTGGTTCTTATTTGATAACTGTTTTGTTATATATTTTACTATGTTAAAGTTAAAACCCTTCTTTTTATTTTAGACAGAAAAGAGAAGATGATGGGAGATGTCATTCCATAATACATTTCTCTTATTGGTTAATGAATAAAGCACTATTGGAAAATAGGAAAGCAAGAAAAGCCAGACTAGGAGACAAGGAGGATTTGGAGAGAGGTAAGAGGAGATTAAAAATATAGGACTAAGAGAGCTGAGGTCTGAACCCTTTCTCCAGTAAGCCAAGACCACTTGGAAATACTTAGATTAATAGAAATGGGTTAATATTTAAAACAGAGCTAGCCAATAAGAAATGCTAGTAACAGGCCAACAATGTTATATCTAATATAGTGTTTCTGTGTGTTATTTGGAGCTGGTGTGGCTATGGGACCAGGCTGATGGGAAAACTGCTCGTAACATCAGTCTTAAAATTCTCTTTTATATAAGGTAATATAAGTGAATAAAATATAGGAGAAGAATGTTTTCTATTGAAAGTGAGGAAAAATGGATGAGAAAAAATGTTTTAACTTATGTATTATCTAGCATATATAACTCAATATTATTGCCCTTCCCAAAGAGATGATACATCACACTCCATTTTAATGAGATGAAACTACTAAGCAGTGGTCGAAGGTACCTACCATATATGATGGCAATGTTTTTAGTGTTCCCGGCTCAGGACGGTGTGAAAAGGGGCCTTCAAGTACACCCCGCCTAAGCATATGCAGTAACAGCTTTGCATACAGGTTCCGATTCTTCCTACCCATGAGTCCTGCACCTGTTCCCGAGGGCTCACACAATTTTCTGATCCAAAGAGCACACCTCTGCCGTTCTGTAAATACATAAGAGCTATGTAAAACCTAATATCAATGACAAAACATTAAATTATAAAGGCCTATATAAATATCTACTATTGTCTAGAACAGGGATCAGCCAACTTCTGTAAAAAGCCCAATTATAAACACTTCAAGCTTTCCAAATGATGTGATTTCTCCTGTAACTTACTCTAGATGATCATCTTATCAAGAAAGTATTAATAAACCATATGTAAGCAAACTGTGTGGCAACATTTCAATAAAATTTTATAATAACAAAACAATGGTTGTGGGCTCAAAAAAAAAAAAAATGACTGTACACGCCAGTCTAGACTTTAAATTTGTTAGTTGCAGTTGGGCAACACAAATATAAATATATACTTCATTAAAAAAGATTCCTGAAATCTATCTTTGATAGTTAATAAAAAATTAAATTTCTGAATACAATTAGACATGTATTTAAATAAAATTTTGCATCAATAAACTAACTGTAGACATACTGAAAAGGCTGTCCCTAACTTCTAACTATACAAACACCAAATGCTAAAGCACAATTTCTGACTACCAAGCAGTAAATTTTTCCCTCTAAAAACAAATCCAAACATTTTATCTATTAAAGCCAATAATCCAAGGGATTTATAGCTGATTTAAGGTTTCCCTTTACTACCTCTAAAATAATTGAGTAAATAATTTCATGAAATAATTATCCTTTTAAGAACTCTACCTAAAAAGCAGCGCATTTAATCCACATATAATGACCCATTGAGTGTATTAACTTTCTGTGACACAGGATTTTTAACTCTCATAAAGACTACTCTGATATTTTTATCAGTCTAACTCAATTTGTGGATTACATATATTATACAAATCACTAATCTCTTGGCTTATAAAGGTCATATTCATTTATTGTTTTGCCTACAAAAAAAAATCACTAAGTCTGGATTTACCACTTTGTAATCTCACTAACAGGCATGAGAGGTAGGCCTCTAAAACGGTGTGTGTGTTCTTTTTTTTTTTTTTTTTTGCTCTGAAAAGTATATAATCACCAAACAAACTTTATGAATATCCAGTGTACCTTATATAAACAGAAAATATATAAGTATAATTAATAAGCTTGAGCAAATAGTTGAAAATAATATTATCATCGTGTCTTCTAGCAAACTGACATCACATTATATTCAATGCACATACTTTGGTACAACTTGATTAATAAAGAGCTTAATTCTCTACTTAAAAAGGTAGAAAAGCCCACTGTCAAAGGTAGCTTTAGCTGTAAGACTAGATGAGCTGGTACAAATTTCTAGCTCTTAAATGGGATGAGTTCCCACATGTTCATTATGAAGTAGTAAAAGGGGGCCATGAATATTCCATATAGACAATGTGTATGAACCTAAGGTTATAGTTCAGAAATTCTAAATACCTAAAATCTATTTTTAAAAGAAGACAAAATATGAGAATAGTCTGATTGGAGACACATTCATAATGGGAAATCCTAATACAAAATTTCTTAATTGGCAGCTCCAAGACAAAAAAAAAAGTGATTATCAAAGTTCTGGAATCAACATAGATTTCCATCAATGGGAAAATGAATAAAGAAAATATGGTATGTATACATAGTGTGATTTTATTCAGACAAGAACAAAATCATGTCATCTACATGACAAACCAGATTCAGGAAGACAAATACCACACATTTTCTCTCATACACAGAATCTAGACATAAATAAAAAAGACATGGAAATAAGAAGGGTCACTATTACATAAGAGGAAAAGAAAAAGCAGAAGTAGGAAGAGACAAGAGAGGACAATAAAGGAAATGACCATGATCAAAGTAAATATAATGTTCATAACATGTATGAAAATGTCATAAATAAAACCCATTATTTTGTGCAATTAATATGTGGTAATTTTTTTAAAGGTAGAATATCAGAAGATCGATGCACATGTATCACTATATACTATTAGGAGTCATCATGAGTCAGTGACCAATGGGAAAGAATGGAATTTGATCCATGAGATCTGAAGAGCAACAGAGGAAGAAGGAGAGGCTAAGGACAAACAAGGTAAGAAAAGAAGCAAAAGGAGACAGTTCAAGGGAAGGCCAGAGAAGGCTGCAGGCTCCAGAACAATGAGCAAAGACCACATCATTTCTCTGTCACACTCTGGTCCCTCAAGGCAGCTCCTTTCATAAGTCTATAGAATTAAATCAGATCCTCACTTTGAATATAAAGTGCACTCAGACAGCTCACGGAAATGATAGCTTGGAAGAAATAAAACCCATAGCTTCTTGGGCCCACTCCACACCCCCTACTCAATGTCTGCCAAATCCTAATCACCCCTACAGTCAATAATACAACCACTGCAGCTTAGAGGCTCTCCCTGAGTCTCTAAATTCTATGCAGCTGCCCTCTGATGTCTTTAAAATGTCTGCACATGTTTATCTTGAAACAGTATCATTACAAAAGTAGAAATAATAGGACAGAAATGAGAAGCATGAAAGCAACAAAAACTCATTCACAGTTGGTCTTACCAGTTAATCAGATTTAAAGAGTCAGAGGTTAATAATGGGTTCATGAACTGGAAGTCATTTCCAAAGGAGGAAGAAAAAGACCAAGTGAAGACAGAAACAAACCTAAATTTAAGATCTCATGCTTTTAAGCTCATGACATATGACATGGCATCACAATAAAATCCTGCCAAAGCTTAAGGGACACTGCCACTAAATTTTCATTTATCCTGGAACAGCACAAAATATACAACCCTACATCAATGGTAAACATTAGAATTAAGGAATGTTTTTAAAAGGGAATTCCAACTTCATTTCCATTTTGACAGTTACTTGCACGACATTTAATCTTGATTGAAGACATTCAGAGTCACCATAGAAAAACATTTCTGGGTGTGTTTATGAGGGTATTTCCAGAAAGATTTAACTGCAGAGGAGAGACCCATGCTATATGTTGGTAGTGCCATGCATGGGCTGGAGGGGCCAAATTGAAGCTGAGTAGCATTCACTCCCCTGTTTCCTGATTACACATGCAATGTGACCAGCTGCCTCAAGCCCCAGACACCAGACCTTCCCCACAGTCTGAGGGCTGAACACTCAAACTGTGAGCCAAAACAAGTTCTAAACATGCATCTTACAGGCCACAGCAATGACAAAACAACAGCTAATATAACTGGTTTGATTAAATCATATTTTTAATTTTAACAAATTAATTTCAGCTAGATATGGTGGCTGAGGCAGTTGGGTTGCCATATGTTGGGTAGCCATATGTGCTACATGGTAAACACTAGTCCACCCAGGGGTACATAGTGAGACTATCTCAAAAACAAGAAGAGTCTAATTCAAACACTAACTTACCTGACCTGTGGGGTAATTTTAGAACAAAAGGCTTCATATCTACCACAAAGTGATCAAATTCTGCATCCAGCTTCTCCCATTTTTCTTCTTCACTTTCCATTTCCAGAACCCGTTCTGTGAAAGAGTTAAAATTAAGCATCAACTATCTATATGAGGAAAGCTATAAAACCATGATAAAATACACTAAAGAAAACTTGTCGATGCAATACCAATCCTCCTTAATTGACTGCTAGACTCAATGAAATTCCAATCAAAACTCAGACAATAAATTCTAAAATTTATATGAGAGGTAAAACAATCAGAGTATCAACTACAATTTTGAAAAATCATGAAGCTGGAGTGTTCAAATCACCATAGTTTAAGATGTGCTATAGTAATCAAGACATTATGGTACTGCCCAGAGAACAAACAGACCAGGAAAAAAGAACAGAAAGCACAAAATGACCAATACAAATATGGACTCCTAATTCCCAGAAAAGGCACAATCAAAGAAGATGACTATTTTTATAACAAGTGATGCTGTAACAATAATGCTATATTATGCATATAAATTATGTCCAAATAAATACTAGACCTAAGTGCAGACTGTAAAAACTGAAAATAAAGGGAAAGATCTCCATGGCTTTCTTAAAGCAAAAAGAGAATTATCCACAAATAAAAAACTGATATACAATATTGGACTTCACACTCCAACCCCCCCAAAAAAAACAAAACCCTGCAAGCTTTGATCTGTGAAGACTCTATTAAGGGACTGAGAAAATAGAGACTGGGGGGAATTCTTGAAAATTCTGAATCTATAAATAAATATCAATATCACATGAATGGCTGGGGAAGTATATAGCTCCGTGGTAACAGTGATGTGTGCTATGAGGCCCTGGTTCAACCTCCAGCACAGAAAAATAGTATTAATAAAGCAAATACAAATAATTCTCATCACTTATCAATAAGAATAAAAACCATTCAGTAAAAATATTGACAAAAATCAATTCCTTTGACAGTAATTAATTGTATGTTTTAAAAAACAGAGTAGAGATGATGAAAACAAATGAATGATTAGATTCTGAAATGATAGTTGTACCAACTACCCTGTTGTCAATACAGACTGTATACATGGTTTTAAACACAGTACTGACCCTTCTAAACATGCATAACTCCTATGTGGCAGTTAAAAACATCAATCCCTTCACCAAAGAAAAATACAAATAATGACAATTATGTTCATAAAAAGATGTCTAACATTACTAGTCTCTAAGAAAATGAAAACCAAAACCATACTGCAACACCCCAACATGTAAGGACAGCCATAATTAAGCCAAAAAATGGGAAGTGCAGGTGAGGATGGAAAACACAGAACTCTGGTGTGCTGCCAACCAGAATGTGAAAAAACAGGGCAGTCTTTCAAAGCTAACCATGCACTCACCATATGACCAATGAAATGCAAAATCTATATCCAGACAAAAAGTGCAAATGTGGTGCTCAGAGCAACTTTTTAAAAAACCAACAGTGGAAACAGCCCACAAATTGCAATATAATCACACATACTAGCACTGCACTCAGCAACAAAGAATGAATATCGATACACAAAATAACATGACCAAACTACAGTGAAAGAAATCCTTTTCAAAAGGTTGTGTGCTAAGTCCACTGTATGGGTCCCAAAAAAGGAAAACACAAGCAGAGAGAACAGCCAACAGTTCATAGATGTCCTAAGTGAAGGACAGTCTGAATAGAGAGGAGACGCACTAGAAAACTACCAGCGACATTCAACTCTTCTGCACATGAACTGTAGATAAGATTGTGAAATCTGTACATATATAAGAAAGAATTCGCTGAACTCTATACCAAAATCTTAAAGTCCTTCAATTCTCCCTTAAACTTTTAAAAATATTAATTCTTCATATATACTGAATATATAATTGAGATAAAACTGACAAAACCAGAAACAAACTAACATATTAAAATATATCCAGGAGGTAGTTGAGGTGACTCAGTTGCTAGAAGAGCTTATCGCTTAAGCATGAGGATCTGAGTTCAGATCCTCAACACCCACATTAAAAAAAAAAAAAAAAAAAAAAAAATCCAGGCATTGTCACTTGTATCTGCAATCCTATTGAAGTAGAGGCAGAGACAGGCAGGTTCCTGGAATTCACAGACTACCTAGCCTACCAATAGATGAGTACCAGGTTCAGTGAAAGACCCTGTCTCAAAGGACAAAGTGAAAGGAGGCTGACATCTGGTACACACACACACACACACACAGACACACACACACACACCTCCAAGCATGTAATGCCGTTACTCTGAACGCTCAGTGTCTACTCGGTTACAGTGTGATCTCGAGGTAAGACAGGACAATTTATACAGACTTGGTCTCAAAATAACGAGTTAAAAAGAGCCAAGTATAGTTTAGTAAGTGGTGCAGTACGTGTCTAGCATGTCTGAGCCCTAGGTTCAATCTACAGAACCTCAAAGAAAATTAATTCACATATATTAATTTGTGTATATTTCCAGCTAAAAACCCCAAAACTGAAGAGAAAGAAAAAAAGAGAAAAAATATATCCATAATCAATATGTTCATTTAAACTATGAACTACCACTGGGTGGTGGTGGTGCTACCTTTAATTCCAGCATTCAGGAGGCAGAGACAGCTTGGTCTACAAAGCTACACAGAAAAACAACCAGGTCTCAAAAAAAAAAAAAAAAAAAAAAAACCTATGAACTACCATACATATACTTCCATAATATATAACAGCCAACTTGTCACATATTTACAAACTATGGACTGGGGAAAAACTTTGCCTTAAAAGCTGTCCTGTTCCACAACTTAACCTTATCCATGAAAAATGAATTTCCAGAGTTTACGGTTTCTCACTAGTAATCTACTACCACCTGTCCTGTCTTGGGTAAGTTACCCTGCATTTCATCAATTCATTTCACTCCCCTCACAGCCATGAGAGGGAGCTATGGCCTCACTACTGCACACAGACGCAGGTCTTTTCAATTTTGCATTCCCTCCACCCAGCACTGCCCAGGAGGGCAAACACTGGCTAAGATCCTTGCTGCTGCTTCCCAGGTATGGCTCCTCCCACAACCACCTTCTTTGGGGCCTCCAGTCATCTGCCTATACCAGTTGCTTCCCTTTCTCATTAGGAACACCTCTACCTGATAGTAGCACCTTCTCTGCAGATGCTCACATGCACCTCTCTCTTTCCTCTCTCCCTCCTCCCCTCCCTCCCTCCACCTCCCCCCACCTCCTCTTCCCTTGGAGCTCTTCTTTCCACTTGGCAATGCTGCAAACCCCATTGATTCTATAACTCCCTAACTAAGGAGCAACTCAGGAGAGATGGCACTACCTTGGAGCTCTTTGAAGAGTCCACGAAGCCTAAAGCCCTTAACCAACTGCAACTCTTCTTTCCATTTAAGGGAAAAAACTTAGATGGTACCAGCCCTATTAAAATGATTCTCTCTTCAACCCACCTCTGAAAGGACACACCCTTACATCCTTACCTTGACTCTATTCCTACATCCCAAGCAACAGTAACTCTCCTTTCCAAGATGGTATCTCCTCCTATCATTTATCAATCATTCAGTTCCCTACCTCCTCCCTATTCCAGATTCTCCATCTCCACCGGCCCCTTCCCCTCCTTTGTCACCCCTCATTCTAGCCCTCCATTCACCAGTCCACTCTTAATTTACTTCTCCAGCTTCGTCCTCCATAGGAATTACCTTTTCCATTCTAGCATGCTGCTGAGCCCTTGAGTTCCCCCGTGATCCACACAGTATCTTCTGTCTTCATGGTACCACATCTCACAGCACCTTACCCTCCTTTTTACGCACCTTACCCTCCTTACAACTGGCTACTCCTCGCAATGCATCTTCGACTTCAACAGTTCGCTCCCTCCTGCATTGCCCCCTCCCCAGGTCACTTCTTCTCAGTCCCCCAGTGGCTCATTTCTCCAGCAACCATCAAGTCCTCATGCTGTGCTGATCTTTCCTCGGTTCTTTTAATCTGACTTTTACCTTCTCTCTGGGCAATCACAATCACTAGTTTCTTTATGTCACTTACCTTAAATTTTATTGTTAACTTCTACTCTGCCCTCGCAGTTCCAAACTCATATTTACAACAGCTTCCTGGACCTGTTCTGTAATGTCCTGCTTGTTACTAAGTTGCATGTATCCCAAAGGAAATTCTTTACAATTGTCCCCATATGCTTAGTGGTATCACCATCTATTTCCTCTTCCTTGCTAGACATAGCAAGGTTTGCATTATCTAAACTCTCCATAAAGCAGGTTTGCATTATCTAAACTCTCCATAAAGCAGGTTTGCATTATCTAAACTCTCCATAAAGCAGCCCATGGGCAAACACACAGAAGCACCAGCTTCTCTATTCTCACCGCATGCTATCAGACAAAACCCTTTGCACCATGAACTTGTACTACTACAATGACCCCATGTCCTGTCCTCCAGCGAGCCTTGTCTCTACCTGAGGAAAAGTGAAGCTTATCATAACTATTTCAAATCTCTCTACTGCCGACTACAGGATACTTCCCAAATCTACATTAGCCATGCAAGTGCCTTCCATTTAGGCCTCTCTTCCACAGCTATTCTTTGCCTAACTACACAAACCCACCAATGGCCATTTTAATTTCTTCATTGTCATGATGAACTTCTCATCATTCTTCAAACACTCCAAGCCCTTACCTAATTCTGCTCCCAATGCACACAGGTCTTTACAGACAGGGATGGATATATGCAGCTCAAATGTCATGGCTGAGTGTGGCTAGTCCTACTTACCTAGGCTAATTATTGCTCTCATCTCACTGTAAATGCTCACATCTGTGTCACTGTATTTACCATACATTATATGTCATTTACATACTTTCTACATCTGGGAGAGGTACTTGGAAAGCAGGGGTTGAGACCTTAGTAAGCACCCCGCATATTGTCAAGTACATGTTAGTATCTAAAGAACTGATTGCTGACTAAACAGGTTAGTGTTCAACTTAAGCATGACTAATTACCTTTTTGACAATTTGGGGGGGAGCACAAGTACGTGAGTGTGTGCACTTTCATGTGGGGTTTTGCATGTCTTCCTTGATCACTATGCACATTAATTTTTGAGAGAGGCCCTTTCACCAAATTGAGCTAGGCTACCTGGCCAATAAGAACCAGAAATCCACCTGTCTCTAGGGTTACAGATGCACACCACCACATTCAGTTTTTATTTGCGTGTTGGGGACCCAAACTGAGGTCCTCATGCTGAAACAGCAGACACTTTACAGATGGAGCCATTTCCCCAGCCCCAAATGACTGGTTTTTAATGCTTCTATTCTGAGCACCATCCAAACAGGTCTTACAGAGCTGGGATATTACATGCTCCTGATTCCACTTGTCAAAAATGGCCCTCCTACTTTCTGTGTTTCAGAGGAAGGGATGTTTTAGATTTTAAGACATGGTTAAATCAAACTTCATTCGGGCTGGGGAGGTAGCTCTGTGGCAGAGTGCTTGCCTGCCATATATGAGGCTCTGGTCTCAAACCTCAGTACTGCATAAATAATTAATTAATCAAGTGATTTGATTTAAATTAATTTAATGACTAGTTGATGAGTTTGGAGTTGTATTTGGTTTGCTTTGTTTTAAATTCCCACAATATATTCAGTAGTTGGTGAAAGTACAGTATGTATTATATAAAACACTGTGATAGCATTCTAGATAATAACATTGAAAACAACTATTCAAATGGATAAATAACCCAGTAGAAACTCACAGGTCCAAAACTTTAAGCACAGCTCTGCCCTAGATATACTTCCAGGCTTACACATCATGTCCATGTACTCAAAAATTTTGCCTAAGCCTGTCATTTGCTGTGGCCAAAACAAAAAGGTTCCTCCTAATCACTAATTCTCAATAAATCCTTTGACATTTGCAAACATGTTAGTGTTTGATATTAGAGGAGACTAAATCCAGCAGTTAAATGACTCACTGAAATCATATAATTAAGCAAAGCCCAGATCAAAATTCTGAAATCCCTAGCTCTTACATAATCTGACCACTTGGCCATTGACATGTAAGTCAGAAATATCACCAACTAATAAAAAAAAATTTTTTCTGACCAGTAGAAAGGCAATCTTTTGCCATCAGGATATGTAATAACCAAAATCACACTCAAAGAAAAGAAAAGCAGAAACGGCTGGGTCAGTAAAGTGCTTGCTGAAGAAGCAGGAGGACTGAGCTAGATCCCCAGTAACCATCAAAGAAGGTAGGCTCAAGTGGCACACACCCGTATTTCCAGTACCAGAAAGACAAACAGGCTCCCTAGAGCTCACTCCCCCCACCCCCAGCCCTGGCCAAGCCTAATCAGGTCCCAGCTCTCAGCAAGAGACTCTACAAAACAAGCTGGACAGCTCCTGAAGACACCTGAGGTCGCAGCGTTGACTCCTGGCCTCCAAATCTGTGTGCGCACACACACCCACACAAAAATAAAGTCAGTGTGATACTTAGTCAAAGCTAAAATTCTACCTTTCCTTATACATTCTCCCACAACAACAAAATATAAATTAACATTTCAATTTCTGAAGGAATTTCTGCTACACAAAGTATACTGTATACACAAATTACTTCCAGCTACGGAAAAGGTTTTTATACTGTTCATAAGAAGTCCAGGTTTAAAATATTAAAACTGTAAAATAAGGCCCGGGCATCATGATGGTGCACGCATTTCATCTCACCACTTAGGAGACAGAGTTCAAGGCCAGCCTGATCTACAGAGTGAGTTCCAGGACAGCCACAACTCTGCTGAGAAACCATACCTCAAAAGCTTTTTTGTTTTAAGGAACATTAAGTAAACCTCTATCCTTGGTTTAGAATTAAGTCACTCATAGCTTGTCTTCTACTGACACCAATTACAATGTGACTAGTACACATGAAACCTACCTCAAAAGTATAAAGAAGTTGGGAGGCTCTTAAATTTATATTCTGTATTTATATGGTGTCTTTTACTAAACTCACTGCCCCCCTTTTTTAAAATGTTTCTTTGTGGGCAGTTATAAAACGGGCTAAGACCTGTTTGAAAGGTTCTCGGCTGCCATAGAAATCAGCAAAGCACACGCAAGCCACCAACAGTAACAGCCTTAAAAGAGACACAACTGCTAAGCCAAGAACACACCTCATACGCGTAGCATGTACCTTGCCAAACGCAAAAACATTCCTGAAAGCTGTGTAAAATGTTTTTGCTGTTGTTGTTCCAATAAGTATATTGCGGAGAGTACAACAGAAGGCTTGAAATGCCAACGAGTCAACAAGGATTACCAGGGCACATTTTTGCGGGTTACACATCTGGATGTCTTCCTAGAGGACATCCGGGGCAGCTGTGGGCATTAGAAACGTATGCCGGTGTGTCCTCCAGGGCCCTTAACCAGATGTGATTTCCACTCTCCTTTACCAGCCGGAAGTTGGGGCTTAGCGGCGGCGTGAATGAACTGAGTCCTGTAGGTAATCGACTGGACCTGAACACTGCACACATGATCCTGCTCTCCACTTAGCTGTGGGTAAGGGAACGAGCCACTGTGGCGCGGGGCTCACTGGCATTTCGCTTGCCTTTTCCATCTTACTTTCAGTCATCTCTAAATGGTCAAGACAAGCATGCTGATGTGGTAGGGAGGGGGCACCGGCCCTGTCATCCCAGCACTCGGGAGGCGGAGGCTGAGGCAGGTGGATCTCTGAATTCGACAGCAGCAAGGTCTACACAAGTGAGAGCCTGTCTCAAACACAAAGCAAAAGGCAGCTGTCCTGCGTCCTAGTTCTCCGGATCACAACAAACACTGCACGTCCCGCTCAAGGGCCGCGACTCCGGGCTGGGAACCTTGCAAAGCCCGAGTCCACGAGGGCTTTCTGGGAGCCAGCCTGCAGTCGGGTCCTGCTCCTGAGTCACTGCTCTGGGGACACTGCAGCTGTCCGGTGCCGGCGGTCACTTCCTCCGCCGGTGTGAGCGGCGCCTGCGTGGCCCACCCAGGCCCCAGCGCTCTCCTCCCTGCTCCGGGACCCAGAACTCTCCTCACAACCGCAAGCCCCCCCCCCTCCGTCGGGGCTCGGGGCCATGCACGCCATGACGCCTGACCAAACTTTATGGAGAACTTTCCCCGGCCCTCGCTTGGGTTGCTAACCCCGCGGGGGCGCGCGCCACGCAGGCCGCAAGCGCGGGTCCCCGGCCTGCGGCGACGCCCCGGGCCGGGCCGCACGCGCGGGGGGCTCCGTCCCGCGCAAAATTCCACTCAGAACCTGGGAGTAGGGCGGGGGGGGGGAGTTATCGGTGAGAGAAGAAGAAGGAGGAGAGAGAGAACCTGAGCCCCCACAAGCAAGCCGTCCACTCGGCCGCCGACGCCCCGCCGCCACAGCCAAACGGTTTCAAATCCTTGCGGGCCGCTGGGCCGCGGGTGTCCAGCATAAGCGGGGGCGGGACTACCGAGCTCGCCTGTCCCGCCCCCTGGAGCAGCGGCTGGCGCTCAACGCGGTTGCCATGGCGACGCGCTGGCTTATGTCTATCACTGCCCCTCACATCCTAGGGGGTGGGAATTTCCGCCCCTCCCGGGTGCCGTTGCCATGCAAGGGGCGGAGACTTCCCACCGCGCTTTCCCCCCCACCCTCCTCGATAGGTCACCCCAAGCCGCTCCGTTGCTGTGGTAACCGTCTGGGCCACTGCGCAGGCGCCGAGCTCGTGTTTTAGCCTGCCAGGCCCTTAGCGGTTTCCAGGCTTAATCTCCTGTGATCCCTGGACTAAAGTGTGGACGCAGCTGCTTCCCGGCTTCCTACTCAGTAGCTCGAGAACACTTTAGAATAGATAGATAGATAGATAGATAGATAGATAGATAGATAGATAGATAGATAGATAGATAGGTAGGTAGGTAGGTAGGTAGGTAGGTAGGTAGGTAGGTAGGTAGGTAGGTAGGTAGGTAGGTAGGTAGATAGATGGATGTATGTATTTTTGTTCTTCCCAGGAAATGCCACGGACCTCAGGGCAGTCTACACTGCCGTGTGGTGGTGTTCTTTGATCCTTTACGTTTCTGGAAGCTCTGAACTGTTTGCTTTAAAATACCAACAGAAACAAAATTTAAGTCGTAAGAATACTGTCTTAAATGACATCCGGTGTGACACGGTAAAAGTTTACGACAGAATTCCTTGGGCAGAATCCTTTTGGGACGGTGTGGTGCCAAACCTAACCTAAGCACAGCTTAAAACATCCTTTCAATTTTTCCATAAGGAAAACAGAAGAGTCGCTTGTTTGTAATTAGTAATTTTCGGCCTCCGGAAGGAGACCACACTCTTTTCGAGGTGCACTTTCAAATATCCACATCACTGGAGGTAAACACAAATAGCTCCTCATTGCTTCAGAGGCAAGTTGTGCTAAAGAAAAGAAAGAACAAAAAATATTTGGTTTCCAAAGAAAAGAATATTTGGTTTTCAATGGTATGTGTGAACACAGTCACAGCTGAAGAATAATAACCCATAATCCAGACTGTTTGCACCAAGAATCAGATTGTAAAACTCACATATGCAGAAATGTGGCTACTCGGAGTCCATCGAATGTAAGAGGTGGAGCTTACTGATCAAAGGATATGGGTTTCCAATTGGAATAAGAAGTTCAAGAGTACAGCATGCTGACTATAGGCAATAACTGTGTATCACACTCTTTGAAGGGCAACTTTTAAGTTATGTTTATGTAGAGGAAACTTAGCAGCACACAGTTAACCCAGTTCAGAGTCAGATTCTTTACCCTTTTCTTCTCCAGCTTGTCAATTCGAGGCATAGATTCTGGAACCATTACATTGCCACCCCAGTGGTGTCAGACCTCATTGTATCTGTCATTGTAATTGGTTCTGATAGCTCACACCTGCTTAGCCAGAGTGTTTTTGTCTTCTGAGTTAATCTGCATGATGGCAATGGTGGTGCCTGTCTTCCTGGGGACCAGCCATTGTCCCCAGCCTCGTCTTCTCTTTGATGATGCTGCAGGTGACCCCCATCTTGTGACACAAGGCAGGCAGGAAGCCACCAGCTCAAAGAGGCTGACACTGTTACCAAGAGCACAGCTTTCTGATTCTCTACCGAGGTAGTGACCCTATGGACTCCTACTCAAAGGAAGGTGGTCTCTAAGTAGGGGGAGCCTCTTTGCTAACAGCTTTCTTCTCTGCACAGCCAGCAGCCTTAGTTTCTTCTGCTTTGTCTCTTCTGCCCTGCACTTCTGAGCAAGCTTAAGCACAGACGGCTTAAGGACAGCTGTGTGACCCTCCAGGATATGGGTGGAGTGGTTAATCAAAAGAGGTACTTTGAGCTGCTGTTGCAGCCAGATGGAGCAGAACCATTTGACAAAGCGGGTGAGGACTCTTTTGGTCTGGGTGTCTTGCCCATGCTGAAGTTCTTGGGCCTTTTCTCATAGGATTCTCCACTTTATTGGCTTCCTGCTTCTTCATGATGGAGGGACAGTGGCCATCTTCTTCCCCTTGGCCTTTTTTACTTTGGGCATCTTCTTTGGGTGGAGGAGAGACTGTATATTGTATTCTTGAAAATTCCACTCAAGGTATATTACTGTAGTGTTTGCCTTGTACTCACCCTTATAAAATGGGTAAGTATGTGAAGTAACATGTATGTCAATTTGCTCAAGGTACCCAGTCCATGTTGCATGCATATCTCAAAACATTGTGTGGTACCAATAAATGCATGTGATTTTTAGACAATGAACAAAAGTACAAGGGGTGCAGAGATAGTCTAGTAGGTAAATGAATGCTTGCTTGTGCATGAGGACCAGAGTTCAGACCCCCTGCCAGGTAGGTGTGGTTCCCACCTATAATTCCAGCACCCAGCAGGCAGAGACAGTATCCCCATAGCAAAATGCCTAATTATACAATCTGTATAGATGAGCTCTGGGTTCAAATGAGACAAAGTGATAAAGAAGACTCCTAATATCAACCTCAAGCACACACAAACACACCTGTGCACCCCCCACACACACACACAAGCAAACATGCCTACATACATGCAGTCACATCACATATATTTTCAAAGGGGGCAAGAAGAAAAATGTTATTCAGTCAAGTTCAGAGGAAATGAGGGAAGGAATTTTACTCCCTGAATATCTACCCTCTAATCTCTCCAAAAATAACTCTTGGAAAATATTAATGTAGATCTGAATTATGGTAACACATTTTTCTTTTCTTCAATATTTTTCTTCATTATGAATTTGTCTAGTCGTTTGATGGACTGACTGTGAGTAACAAACACACCTAAAAATGCATGGCACAAAAACAAAAGTTACTGACTTTGAATCACTGCAGTAGATTATCAATTATTTCTGTTACTAATCAAGAATTAGCCATAAACAGAAATGGAGTTTTATTTACTAAGCTAAGAATTTTCAGTTGCACATTTTTGAGATTTTGTATACATGCTATTGTAGGTAAATTATAAAATACTGAAGTGTTTAAAGTGGAAAATTAACACAATTTTACCATTAAAAACTAACTAGGATTGGGGCTGGGTTAGTGGTGGCACACACCTTTAATCCAAGCACTTGAGAAATAGAGGCAGGCAGATCTCTATGAGTTCAAGGCCATGCTGGTCTGCAGAACAAGTTCCAGGATAGACAGGGCTACTACACATAGAGATAGATCCTGTCTTGAAAACCAAAAAAACAAACCAAAAAAAGTAACCAGGATTAATATATATCACATACATATATGTTCAAATATTCTATCTATATATTACACTAACATCATTTTAAACGTGGCCTTATTATCCTACCATATAGATATAACATAATTTGCCTAATTTTCTCCTGTAGCTACTAATTATGGTTCTCACAATACTTAAGAAGTCTTTATTGAAGTCTCAGTTACCAAGTTACCAAGAGACTTATTTCATGTATGTGTGGATATATATAAATATATATACATATATGTGTGTGTGTTTTATATATATATATGTTTGTGTGCACACATGTGTGTGTTTGTGTGTGTATATATATGTGTGTATATGTGTGTGTTTATATATGTGTGTATATGCATATATATGTGTGTGTGTTTGTGTTTATATATGTGTGTGTTTATATATATTTATATGTTTGTGTGCACATATATTTGTGTGTGTGTTCATATATATGTTTGTGTGCATGTATACAGTATTGTGGGGGTCAAATGTCAATGATGGGTATCTTCCTCAGTCACTGTCTAGCTGTTCTTGAGACAGTCTCTCACTAAACCTGGAGGCTGCAGATTTGACAAGGTTGACTACCAGCTAGCCCTAGAATGCAGTCTACCCCGCCCACTCCTGCGTACTCCCCAGTCTAGGGTTTATGAGCTCCTGCACCTGGTTTTATATGGGTACTGGGGATGGAACTTGGGTTCTCATGTTTTCAGGGCTTGCACTGTACTAACTGAGTCATCTTTTTAGCCTATACAAGAAATCTTCAGTGGACATAAGAAAAGCATTACAGTTTTGCCCTCAAATTACTCTCCAAACTTATTTTGCATATCTGTAAGACGAGGCAATCTAGGAGATCCAACTTTTTGGATCTATGCAAATTATATCTTTAAAATTTTGTATGACTTTTTACTTTGCATGTTCTACTCTTTTAAAATGTTAGTGTTTTTTATTAGTGCTTTCTAGTCTTCCATAGTAGAATCTCTTTTGCTTTTTGTCATTTTTGTGAAATTTGATGTGGGATAGTGTGGTGTTTTAAATGAGTATAGCCCCATAGGCTCATATATTTGAATGTGTGGTTCTTGGTTGGTGGATTATTGGGAAGAATTAGGAGGTGTGTCCTTGTTGGAAGATGTGTGTCACTGCCAGGCACAGCCTCCCTCTGCCTCCTGCCTGTGGATCAGAACTTAAAGCTCTCAGTTACTGTACCAGCACGATGAGTAACTTCATACTCCCTTACCATAATGATGATGAACTAACACTCTGAAACTGTAAGCAAGCCCCAAATTAAATGTTCTCTTTAATAAGAGCTGCCTTGGTCATGGTGTCTCTTCACAGCAATAAAACAACAATTAAGACAGATAGAATGACAAAAATCTTCCACATTTAAAAAAAAAAAAGAATTAACTATCAATGGTTCTGTGCACTTTTGTGTAAAGCAATCAAGTTATCAAATTTTTTTTGTGATTTAACTTTTTATACTTTTATTACCCCTACTCCCACCCGTGTGTGTGTGTTTGTGCACACGCGCGAATGTGCACCATGGCCGTCAGAGAACAAGCTAAGGGAGACATTGGTCCAAAGGGTCAAATTCAGGTCATAAGGCTTGGCAGCGAGCATCTTTGCCCACAGAGACATCTTTCTTATTTCACCATTTTTCTATTATTAAATTATCATTAGAATGAAATCTTGAATGACTTAACTATCTAGATTGGAAACAATTTATAAATACGAAGAATCATTCCTCTATTGTCTTATATAAACATATTAGAGATAAATATCAGAACAGACCCATAACCAGTAAATCCCTTAAACTGGATGGGAAGTGACTCAGAACTTTCTATTTAGAGACCACAAAAGTATAAATTACACCACAAATCGACACAGTTTAAAGAGCACAGAGAATAAATAGCATAGTTTTTCTTCTTCATTAATAAAAATTGAAAAGGTCACTGCTTTTAATACAGTGGTTCTGGATTCCTTAATTTAAGCCAGAACTAAGCAATATTCATCATTCCATTCCTACTTCAGCTGTGCAAACTAACTTCTTAGATAAAATCACGCTAAGGGTTATTAACAAAAAACAAACAAACAAACAAAACCCTTGTTTCCCATCCCATCCACCTTCACTCCAGTAATCTGTATGTCATCCTGGCTAGTGTCAGAACAGAGGAGCAATCAGTTAGCAAGGCCTTCCAGTCTCATCTGTACAATGACCTTTCATGCCGACTCTGATCCCATGTGTGGCACTGGGCTATAAAAGCCCAGCTTTCAGGCACAGTTATTTTCAGGAAGCCACTGGGGAAAATCAGAGCCTACTTGATGTATAGCTACAGCACAAAGGCCAACACTCTGGAGTCCAGTTATCTGGGTTCCGGGGATCCTTGGTGATGTGTGGCAAAATCCAAGTTACATAACTTCTCTGGCTTCCTTATGAAACAATTGGCAAGATGGAGATGTGCATCTTGGAAATTGCCCAGTACCCGACAAAAGGAAATTTCTATTTCTATCCCCAAGTCTTTTGTGAACATTTCGAGACTCAGTGTATTGGCTCATCTTGGCTGCTAACTTGATTGTATCAGCAGCCAATGAAAGCCCACGCTGCTGGGCATGCCTGTAAGGGATTTTCATAATCCCGGTATTTGAGGCAGGAAAACCCACCCTAAATCTGGAGGAATGAAACTGCTTTTTACCTGCTTGCCCTCATTCTCACCGGCAAGTTCACCTATCCTATTGCTGAGACATTCCTTTGCCTGTAGTAAAACTAACTTCTTAGGAATCCAGTATAGAATGAAGGCCAGCAGCTCTCCATGAATCTTCTAGGGTTCCGACACCAGATAGGAACAGCTGAGACATCCAGCCTCCTGAACTGAACAACTACCAAATTATTACCCTTTCCGTCAATGAGGCAGCCATTGTTGGACTAACCAGATACAGCCTGTAAGCCAGTCTAATAAAGCCAGTCTTCTTCATCATTATTATTGGAGGGAGATTTATATATATGCACATACGTGTATATATATTATATATTCAGTCTATCAATTCTATTCCTTTAGACAACTCTAATATGCACAATAAATGCCACTAGGAGGCAGCAATAACACACAAAAAAACCTTACTCATAATTTTCTCTCTCTCTCTCTCTCTCTCTCTCTCTCTCTCTCTCTCTCTCTCTCTCTCTGTGTGTGTCCATTTACATGTAGAGGTCAAAGGGCAACTTTTAGGAGCTATTTCTCTCCCTTCACCACATGGGGGTCCCAGGGATCAAACTCCACTTGTCAGGCTTGCCTGCTGAGCTATCCTGCAGTCTCAATAACTTATTTCTTAAGAGATATTATAACTAGGTGAATTTAGCAAGGTCACATGATGAAAGGTCAAACATAATATATAAACATATAGCATGAGAATAAACATTAAAATAAAAAACCTTCTTAAATAGCTTGAAAAGAAAGACAGAAAGAAATGGCATTTCATACCAGGACAATAATAAACAGTGACTTAAGGACACGACTCTACCCTCTGATTGTCTGTAGGATGTAAAACTGCAAACTTACTTGAAAATCTTTCTTTTATATAGAAAAGTACCTAAACATATGGAGCTGCAGAGGTACCCTGCTCCATAAAGGCCACCTGAGGAAGCATTTCTTCCTGCTTCTCCCCCTAGCATTGGAAGGTCAGCTTTAATTGTTAACATGACACAACCCAGAAGCTCCCAGGAAGAGTTCCCATGACCAATGGTCTACATTAGTGTGGCTTGTAAATATGCTTGTGAGGGTTGTCTTATTTAAGTGAATCATCGATGTGGGAAGACTCAGCCCATTGCAGGCGGCTAGGCAGGGGTTCCTGAACTCTGTAAGAGTAGAGGTATTAAATTGAGCTCAAGCAAATAGGCAAGCAAAGCTACATGATTGTGGATGTCATGTGTTATGTGGCCAGCTATATCAAGGTCCTGTCACTGTGACTTCCTTTCATGATGGATGTGAACTAATATAAGCCCTCTTCTCCTAGGCTGCTTTTTGTCAGGGTATTTTTATCACAACCAAAACAAAACTAGGACACACACTAAAATAAAACTTAAACAAAAATCGCATTGATATAATACTTGTATGTTTTAGGAAGGAGATGTACTCAGACTTAGAATGTCTTAATAATTGTAAATGGGCTCTGTTGAAGGTATGTGTTTAATTACATAAAATAGGAAAATATACAGATCAAGTTGCCCTGGTTAAGGGTAACTTAATGAATATCTTGTCTAAAATCCAGGAGATTTCTGTAAAAGAATGGTTTTGATATTGACAGGGAATTAGACTCAGATGATGTCTTTCAGCAAGTCTTTCTCTTTCAAACTTTCAGCTTTAGAGGATCAAATACTTAATGGCAGAATGAAGTTGGGAGAAAGTATAAATGTAGATTTAAAAAATAGTAGAAGATGACAAAAGCAACAAAAATAATTTATCTGATATTTCTGTCTTTTCTTGTACAAAGCACACCAGTGATGAAGTTCCTATGTGTATGTTGTTGGCTCTGATTAAAATACTCCAGCACTGGATTAGCTATTTTTTTTCTTGTTCTACAAAATACCCAGAAAAAAAATCAACATAAGGGAGAAAAGGCTTGTTCAGACTCATGGTTTCAAAAGACTCTATCAAGGTGGGAAGACAGAGCTGAGTAGCTCTGTGCACAAAGGCAGGAGTTTGAGCCTCTGCTTGTTCACATGACAGCAGGGTAACCCAAAGCAACATAACCTCCAAGATTTTCCCTCTATAACCTCCTCCTGTCAGCTAGGCCCCGTTTCCCCCAAAGAGTCCACAAACCTCCAAAATGGTGCCACCAGGTGGGAACTGAGTGTTCAAATGCATAGACTGTGAAGGATATTTCACATTCCAATGGCGCCATTCCCCAAACTCCTGACCCCCACAGACTCAGGCCAACTCTCACTCAACCAAACTTCAGAGGTCTCTAATGTTAATAACCCAATACTGTTCAAAAGCTCAAAGTGCAAATTCTTCACAGACTCAAAACTGTCTTAACTGTGAACTCTAAAACCAAGAAGACTTTTAAATGCATACAATATGCCACATAAGCTAAATAGTCTCTTTTTAGTAGGGAGGATTGAAAGAATAACAAGAAAAGGCTGCTGCAAAAGAAGACCAGAATCCTACTTGTTCACATCACAGCAGGCTAACTCAGTAAAGACATGTTAAATTCTGAAACTGTGTTGTCCAGCATCCACAGGCTATGGTGATATTATCTGGGCTCCAGCAGGCTTGGGCATCCCCCCAGCTGTGGCCATGACAGTTTCAACACATATGACTTTTCTCATAGGTAGACTCAACTTGGTACCTACTACATTCCTCGGCAGACAGCCTGTGTTTCTGGTATCTCCAACATCTCAGGAGACTTAAGTCTAGGTTTCACCTTCACAGGCTCACACACTGACTCCTCAGGGCATCCCTGCAGGGAATACTACTACATATTGCCTGGCCATATTAGCTTTCTCTGGACCCTTGGTGCAAGCTCTTGCATTCTGCATATGGGGGGAAATGGTGCTGTGTGAGTGATACCAAGTTCTGCTGCCACCTTCAGAAGTAGATGGGACCATGGATGCATGGCTCTGTGTACAGCGGCAAGAGTATGAGGCCTCTGCTTGTTCACATCACAACAGGAGAGCCCTTGTAGAGAGTAGGGGTGTGGACAGACCAATAACAGATGGTGTGAGTGCTAACAGAGCAGGAGGGCCAACATCTAGTACATCCATGAATTTAAACTGGGATCTATTAGCATGAAGGGTGAGTTTGGCCAACAGATACAACAGAAAAAGAGATGGGCAAAGGAGTAGTACATACCCAAAGGAGTGATGGCAAAGCCTAATGTTAAACTGACAATGGGTAAATAAAGATGTTTTTGGCATCATGTAAACACAGTATCAAGGATTCCAGTCCAATTCTGTGGACCTGGAAGTTCATGTTTATCCCTTTGTGGCCATGATTCCCAAACTCAGGGAAGTGTAAGAATCATCTAGGAACTACATTAATATAGATTTTGAAGTTATCCTCAGGAATTGTGGGATGCAGAAGTTTTTTATTTTCTTCCTTTTGATGAGTAGACAGATATGGTTGACTTAGAGGTCTATGAATCAACCTGTAAAAAATATTATATTGGAACATCTGTTCCAATATAATATTAGTTATGCTTGCTCCTTTACAGCCAGGAACCAAAGATGCTTTGGGTGTTTGGATCTCTTGACATACCTAAAACCACAATACCATGTAGAGTCACACTGTAATGACTGAGGCAACCAGTAACTTTATTTTGCTATTTGAGTTGGATTCTGAGGGCAAGCAGAGATACAAATATGACATCCAATTTTGATTCTGAAAATGACTTCAACATGGCTTCACATCCCAAGCATCCGTCTTCCAGAAAGCCAGTGAACTGTGCTCTGTAGGAGGAGAGGAAAGACGAACAAGAGAGAAAGTCATTTCTTAAATTTGCTACATAGCTCAGCCAAATCAAATACATCTTACATGTGTGTTAAATAAATTTAATTCTAGGAATAAAATCATTTAGTATGAGGTTTCAGTGATGGGGAAAAATGGACACGGATAAGTCATTCATTTCCAAGAAGACAAAATGAAAGGCTTTATATAACTCTGACAGACAAGATTAAAAGGGGAAAATCACATACCCCCTTTATTTATTCCCTAGGGCATCAAGAATACTGTTTCTGTCTGAGGACCATAAGGGAAAATCAGACTGAGAAAAATATGGCAATGAAATTCTGACTTTTAAATTAATTCCTCCTAGTAGTTTCCCTACTGACTTGTACTAAAACCATTGCACCTTGTCAATTTTATACTTAACATCTCACTATGGTTCTACCCTTTATTGTATTTTATTTTTGTGTGTGTGCACATGAGTGTGGAGACCAAACCTCAACATTGGGTGTTCCCCTCTATCACTATCAACTACAGGATCTCTCACAGAACCTGGAGCTTACTGACTGGCTGGCTAGGTAGTGAGCTCCAGAAATCTACTCTCTACCTCCTAATTCTTCTATTCAGGTTATAGGTTCACTACCCAGCCCCAGCTGGGTTCTGGGTAGCCAAACTCAGGCTCTTGAATTTATGCAACAGGCACATTAGCAACTGGACAATCTCCCCAGCTCAAGTTTTTGTATCTTTGGGACAATAACAACTTATTCAGTAGGATTCTAGATATTTGCAATTATGATAATGTCACTGATTGAACATTTATATCATGTATAATATTTCTATTAATTAGAGTTGGGATGATGTCTCAGTGGGTAAGTGCTTGCTGCATAAGTGTGGAAACCTGAGTTCAGATCCCAGCACCCATGGCCACACACAAATGCCTGTTTTGAGGGCTAGAGATAGGAGGATCACCAGGACTTGCTGGCCACCAGCCTAGCTCCAGGTTGAGTGAGAGGCCCCACCTAAAAGTAATACGGCAGAGAAGAATAGAATAGGACCCCCTGACACCTTTTATTAGCCTCCATGTGTAAGCACAGGCACATGTACCTTCACACATACATAACACACACACACACACACACACACACACACACACACACACACACACACTCATGCATACACACAAAATAAGATACTTCTATCAATTGAACCAACCTTATGAGGTACATCTTATTAATCATTTATACTTTGCTTTTCTCTCTAGGTAATGAATTCACACACACACACACACACACACACACACAGAGAGAGAGAGAGAGAGAGAGAGAGAGAGAGAGAGAGAGAGAGAGAGAGAGTTACATCTATTCTCAATTGTCTTCTAGCTATTGATACATGGTTATCAGTATATTTGGAGCATTCACAAACCTGGAGCCAACAGTAACTTCAGCCTCTCTTGCTAGCAATAACGACTACATAAGCCTGAAACCTAGGTTAGCATTTAGTTCTCCAAATTGACCAGTGTCCATTTCCGAATCTCACACAAGCACACTAAACATCTTTCTCAAAATATTTTGCTCTGATCAAACTTTGCCTTAAAGAATTCTTTTTAAATTAGGCATTTCTGAAGGCAAGAAAAATAAATATTGGATCTATAGATGAATTACCATCATTACCATCACTTGTCTAAAATGTGGACTAAAGAAGAAATAATGACTGATTGCATCATTCAGTATTTGACTCTGTTATTTTTCACACTAAACTTGAGATCACAGACGGTGGTATAATTCACCTCAACAGTCAGCAAGGAAACCTACAACCTCAAGATTTAATGAAAACAACTGGAAAGCAAAATGTGTATGTAAGCCAAGAAACTATAAGCAACTCTCTGCTTTATCTGAGCTTTCCCTATCACACATCTTGGGGGAAAAAAAGTAGCCAAATAGTTTTAGCTTCTAAGAGTCACTCTTTGCATAAATGTATAAACGCTGGTGATAGTGAGGGCCAAGTGGATGTTGCATGGAAACCTTACCCTTGAAACATTTGGGGATTTCAAGGGTGCCGTCAATGCACTGAGCCTCCTCAGTATAGCTACACGTCTTCTCCTTGTTTTTGCAGAAGAAAGAAACCTTGTCACCATGTTTCATTCCATTCTTAAACTGTTCCTGGATCTTCACTCTTTCTCCTTGGTACAGGACTGTGGCTTTCTTAACAGATATTTTGCAAGATGCTGAAAGAGAGAATATCTGTAGTCAAGACAACAGTCCAAGGACTCTGTGTTAAAGAGAATATAGATTACTTATGTTTATTAAGATTGCTGAGTGGGTGAAGGAACCTGCCACCAACCCTCATGACCTGAGTTTAATCCACAAGAACCCATATAGTGAAATTGTCCTCTGACCTTCACACAGGCATCATGATGCTCATGAGCCTCATACATATACACACACATGCACAAAATAATAAATAAACATGTAATACAATATTAAGAAAGAATATAAACTTGTGAGTCAGTAGATGAGACAACTGAGATTAATAGGCCAAGACAAGAGGGTTCAAGAAAGTGTGATGTGCAATGTCAATTTGATTGATGACAGATGTTCCCTGTCAACGTTTTTACCCTTCAGTAATGGCATGAGGTCAAAAAAACAGCAGATTCTTGGCTTCCTTGGAAGAGAACGTGATGTAAGCCTGAGCTGGTCTGCACTCAGATCACATTTATGGAGCTGAAACATCCATCAGTCAACCAACATCACTGAAAGCTGCTGACAGCTCACAGATGATTCCTGATCAAAAGTTTGTTTCAGGGCCAGCAAGAAGCTCAGTGGGCCACCAAGCTTGATGAGCAGAGTTCAATGCCCTTGACCACACAGCAGAAGAAAAGCATCAACTCCAGAATGTTGCAGTCTGGCTTCCATGTGTGGTTCATGGTACACACACACAGACATAGAAACAGACACAAACACACACACACACACACACACACACACACACACACACAGACTCAGATACCGACACAGATTTAGACACAGACTCAGATAGACACAGACAAGCAGACAGACAGACACACACATTCACACAGTAGAAAAAAAAGTAGGAAACGTTTAATTGCTTTCAGCTCTTTGTTTAACCTGCTCAGTCTACATAATGTTACTTGTGTGTATATAATTTAAGAGCTGACCACTTGGTATTGGATAGCTGCTGACTGGGGTCAGGGACTCTTCTCTGGGGAAGAGAGAATCTTTTTCCCACTTTCAGTACTCCTTAGTTCCCTGTAGTTCTTCATCTATAGTTGAGCCCTTGTGAGGTTTCTCACTTCTGTGACCTTTGCTGTCATCCTTGTCCGGGTCTTGTTTAGGCTATTGACACCGCATTTGTAATATATGTATTTGTATATATACACAGATATATTTGCAATATATGTGGAACTTGGTCAAAAATGAAAGGTCACATCCTAGATCCACTAAATCAAAAACTCTGACGATGGAGCTCAGAAATCTGTGTAAAAACTAGGCCTCAAGGGCTGTAGAGATGGCTCAATCAGTAAAGTGCTTGTTGCACAAGCATGGGGACCTGAGTTCAGAGCCCCAGCAAGCACCTACATACAAACTAGGGAGAAAGGGGAGGGCTGAGAAGCAGGCAGGCAGTTTCCTGGAGCTCTCTGGCCCGCCAGCCAGTCAGCCTCCAGGTTCAGTGAGCAATCCTGTCTCAAAAAGTAAGGGAGGGGCTGATTGGGGAAGACACCTAACACTGACCTCTGGTGTGCACACATCAGCAGGCACACATGCACATACCCATACATGCATGTATGTACACGCATGCATGCAGGCACACACACACACACACACACACACATCCCTAGGGGATCTCTGATACACAACAAAGTTTGAGAACCAATGCCCACCCTATTTTCTGTGTCCCCAAATCTTAGCTACTGGCTTTATAAACCAATTGCACTTGAACACCTGTCTCAGACTCTGCTACCAAAAGATTCCAACCTATAACACCAGCCATTCATCATTTTGTTTTTGTGCCTACTTCCCTTTTATGTTTAAAGAGTTCAGCTTAGGCAGAGATGGAGTGCTATGTAGTTGTACTTTGCATAGTCATTACATTATGCAAACCATGGCAGTGACTGGACTAAGGACAGATGCCCAACTCAAAAAAATTGACATCTCAGGGAAAGCAGGAGAGGGACACAGAGAAGGGACATGTTCTATCAGTTCCTCATTTGCATATTTTTAATACAAGAAGCCACCATTTCCTTGGACTAGCTTGGATATGTGATTGATCTTTGTGACCAAGAAAACCTTGACAAAAAAAAAAAAAAAAAAAAAAAAAAGGGGCCCAAAGTGGAGTGGGTTGGGATGCTCAGGCTGCAGACAGGTTAAGAACATGCACTGCTCTTCTGGAGGACCAGAATTCAGTGTAAATGGAGTTCTTAATTTAAGGTCTAAGTAATAAAAACCTGGAGTCAGATATAGAGGAAAATGCTGAGAGATCAGAAAGTAGCAAGCCAAAGCCACCTTTACCTCATCAGCTTCCCAGTGGAAAAGAGAGTGAGTTCCAGTTTCTTCCTGCTTATATCCTGTGCTCACCTGGCCATGTTACTTCCTGTCTCTACGCAGCCATCTCACTTCCTGTCAGTCTGTACAGATCTCTACTGTTAGCTAGTAGCAAGCTCCGTCCTCTGATCTTCACCCAAGCTTTATTTGTACAAGCAAGATTCCACCACAGTTCAGTTTCCAGTGCTTGCATCAGGTGGCTTACGACTCCAGCTTCAGGGAATCAAACGCCTGGTCCCTGTGGGCACTTGTATTCGAGGGTGCACACATCACCCCCCCACAGATGCACGCAAATTTATACTTAGTAAAATAAATATTCTAAAGGGTGCTTATGAGCAGATCTAAAGTAAGTAAAGGCAGAAAACATGCACTCCCACCTCCCACCGTATTCACAGTGTTCCAGAGAATCCGTTTACTTCTACAGCCAAACTCTAAGCAACCTTTTAAGCTTGCGCATTCTGGTATATTGAGTCCTTAGGACTTTTACATGTCAATGGCTGTAAACCAAATCTGAGTAACAAGAAGAGAATAAAAAGGCCAAGAAAGTAGCAAACAAGCGTGATCCACTGGAGGAATTCAGTACTTCGCAGGACCTCACCACCCACATGCCCATACCTTTACAGCTTGGCTGGGCGGTCCAGTTTCCCATCTTGGTGCACTCCACCTCTTCTGGGCCATCCAGGTTGTATGTTTCATGGCAACCAAATGTAGCTTTATCCTTATAAAGAAGCATTGGCTTTGCAGGGTAATTCACGAACCCATTATCTGGCCTTGATGGGAAGGGGCATTTCACTTCTAAAAAAATGTATTCAGGAAGACCCATTAGTAGCTAACAGTGTTATTTGACAGTTGCAGAATGGTAACGTTCTTCCTTTCATTACACCATGGAATCCCTGGCTATTCCTGTGAGTGAAATGCAGTTTCTAGGTGCTCGGTGCTTAACTCTGTCCCCATTCTCTTATACTTATAGAACCCTGAATATTAAAGAAGGAAAGAATAGAAAGAAACACGTTTTGAACATAAATAATGACACCCTGCTAGCTCTTTGGGCTTTGAGTTTTCATCACGAAGTGTCACATGTCACAGATTTTAACCATCTAAAAAGTGGGCATGGAAGAAGGCGGGGGGAGTCTTTTTTTCCAATCAATAAACCAGATTAAAAGGTTACTGCAATGATTCTTAAATTTAGATTATAAAGTCATAGCCATAAATCAGACGATAAGCCAGTTTTTAAAACCTTCATCCCTTTATCCAGGCATCTTTTCACCAGCCTCACTGGTGTCCAGCTGTCACCCTGGCTTTGCAAGTGATGTGTCCCTGCATAGCACGCCTTTCCTTCATCATCCACCCATGATTCAAAGCCCACATCAAGGTCTTGACCTCTGGAAATACCACTCAGTCAGTCTTAAACTGTTAATTGCATGACATTTAATTCACTGCAGGTCAGAAGCTGAACTCATTCATCTGTTATCCCTGGTACAAAACACACTGCTCGATGCCATAGGTGCTCCATAGACATATAGTGTGGTGGTGCACTCCTATAGTCTCAGCATCTGGGGGGGGGGGGGTGGAGGCTGGAGGATCAGGAGTTTGAGACCAGTCTCAGCTACATAGTGAGTTTAAGATCAACCTACTGCCACTACTGTATAGAACTTTCTGCTGGATTGAATTTTTCACAAGATCCGAGGAGAAAGGGGACTGAGTGTACACAGCCCCTCTCCAAGCTGTGTAAACAGGAGCAATTGCTGAGAGAGAGAGAGAGAGAATGCTCTTGCTGGTGGCATAGCATGCGAGTTGCACAGAGAATAGCAAGTCATCACCCATGCATGCCAAAATGAACATCTCAGTGATGCAGTCACTTTTGAGTCACTCACGGCACATTCATGCATAATAGACTCTTCGGTTCCCTAGGCTACCCTTGAGTAGTATCATTTCTTTGGTCTTGTCATTGGTCAATGAATAAACATTGTTGATGTCTCTATAGGAAATGTAACACAAGAGATACATGAAACTCTGTCTTGAGACAAAATAAAAAAGGAAAACAAAAAGCAAAATACTTTTAAAAGTTTGTCAAGGGAGAGAATTTGGAATGTCCCTGGTAGTTGGCATTTTGAACACTTCCAAATATGTGCTTCTGTGCCTGCTACTCTAGTTATTTTGTCTTAGCCACTTACCCCTGCATTCTGGCAGTTCAGTCCAGTTTCCATGAGCTGTGCACGTCACAGTGTCGTTTCCAAACATGGCATGGTGTGGCAAGCATTCAAAGACTGCTGTGTCCTGATACAGAGAGGTGTTCCCAGCTGATGGCTTGTGAGTCTTAAGGGTTGCAAACTTAGGAACTGGTGGTGGTGGGCAGGTGACCGCTGCAACAAGAGATCACTGTTATCACCAGAAAAATAGTTGGGGTTTTGAAATGAACTCTTTGAAGGTAGGTGGATATCTGTGAGTTGGAGGTTAGCCTGATTTACATAGTAAGACATTGTCTCATAAATAAATACATAAACGTTGTGTCTGTCTCAGTATATAAAAACCAATAACTCACTGGATGACTGAAGTTCCATTCATAGGACTCACATAGTGGAAGAGAGAAAAAACTAACTCTCGTGAATGGTCTTTGGACCTTTACACATGGGCTGAATAAATGACTGTAACTTAAAAATTAAAACACACTCTTTTCAGAATAAAAGAGATTATGAGAATGAACTTTAAGGAAACGTAAACTTTGATAATAGGGTAAAAACAGTTCATTGTTAAGAAAAAGTCAAATAAAATGTGTCTACAAGTCAGGAACCATGCCCTCCCTCCAAAAAAAAAAAAAATGAGGAGGACAATGACAAGGAGGTAGAGGTAATGACTGCCGCAGCAATAATTTTGTTTTGTCATAGTTCATTTGACTTTTGCAGCCAGTGTTCTATGCATCTTTGACCTAAAGGCTACCTTGAGAGATGTTTCTGGAAATCAGAATGTATGGAAGACATTGCTGAGACTATCCTCAAGTATCTGGTGCCGTGTTGTTCATGACATCTGAGTTCTGCGCTTCGTACAATTTTCTTGTTTTTTATCAAACAGCTCCTGCTTTGGTACTGAACACATGGAGGATTACACATCCAGAGACAAGGGCCCCAAGGCAAGTCAGTGGCTTATCATCCTCCCTTGACAAATAGAGAGTTTCAACGAATTCAGGGAAAGTTACACCAACGTAAAGACACTGCTGACGGAAATGCTACTTAATGTGACCTATCTCAGTCCTCTCTATCTATCTCAGTCCTCCATTCTCGGTGAGCGCTCCGTGGACTCAGAGTCGGGGAATTGCCTGGCAGCCTGAGCAAAGCTCAGACCACATCCCAGATGCCCGAATCAGCATCTACATGTTGGCAAGATGCCTGGTGACTGGGATGCACACTCAAGCATGAGAGCCACTCATTAAGATTAGATTGAATTTAAAGTAGCTTTTCTGTTCTTGACTGGAGAAAAAAGATGAGTTTACATAATTGGTATAAAGATGACCAAAAGGGGAGACTATTTACATGATCCATGGCAACCCTTACTACTGATAAAGAACTCAATTTATCTTGAAGACATTGTTGTGGTTTGGTTTTAATTTAGTTAGGGTTTATTTAGAATCACTTTCCTACTTTCATTTGCTGGAATTGGTGTCACTGAAAGGTTAAAGGACCACATGCACTTCTATGATGCCTGGGCTTCTTAGTCAAAGATTAGTCTTCTGTGCGTCTCAAGCTAGGATACCTGAGAAGACTTGTCTCTATAGAAACAGATTCAGAGCTGCCCCTGACTGCTTAGTTGAGCATAACTTGACTAAGTCATGAGGTCCTTGCTCTTAAGACACAAGGTGCTTGGTGGCTTAGTGTGAAGGGACCTGTCTTCTCTCTGTCAGTGGATTCATTGCCTTGGAGCAGAGCTATCTCCTTTAGCCTTATAGGCTCAAGTTCCAGTATCTGGGTCCTCAGTTCACATTTGTTAAAGGTGGAAATGAGTCACTGTATTAGTAACAAAGAAGTATGCAGTGAAGAGGAGGCAGAGATGTTTGAAACCACTGTGGGCAGAAGTTCTCCTTGCCAGGATTGGTGGTGTACCCGAGGGCTAGAGCACTTGCCTACCCTGTACAAGACCCTGGGTTGGCTCTCCAGCATGACAAAGAAAAAACCAAGTCCTTCTAACTAAACTATGGCAGGCCCTGATAGACCAATGCCGGACCTTGACTTTGCCAAATAGTGAGGGAGCTTTGTAGTTAACAAACACAGCAGGCACTTGTCCACCAGGTAGCAGATACATATTAGTTCATAACTAAAATGCTTCTAGCCTGCCACCGCGTGGCAGTAGGTTGTCGCCTCCTGGAATACAATGATACCAAGATGAACAACCCCACAAGAGACCAAGCATCCATCTCGCTGAATCAGGTCTTTGGGAATGAGGAGTTTCTGGATTGTGGAGCTGGCAGTACTAAAACCAGGAAATTTCTGGACAAACCAACTTGTCCTTTAACTCTCAAGTGGGACCTAGAGACTTACGGACACAGACGGGAAGCTCTGGGCTCCATCTTCCTTCCTCAGTGCACTTAGCAGAGCTAGTTCCATTCAGAGAAAACCTGAAAAGGGGAAATGTAGTGAATGAACCAGTAAGGTGTCTCCCTGGCATCATGTGCTAGGGATTGTATTCAGGGTCTTATATGTAGAAAGCACGAGTTCTATCGCTGGGACCCCCACCCTTAACCCAATTCATTTGTTTTGAGGCAGGGTCTCAAAGAAGATAACTCAGGAGATTCCCCCACCTCATTTTCTGCAGTAGATTCCACTAGAGTCATATGCTATTATACTCCTCAATGTATTGACCTCCTTCCCACCTTATTGTGCAATTTTTCTAAGGGTCTCTGTTCTCAGGACTCATGGAATGGTCCAGCCAAACTTCAGGAAAAACAAAACCACCAGAGGTTTCTGTAGTTGGTGAGTGTAGAGGCCAAATCCCTAACTCCTCACTTCCAATCAGTTGGCCAAGTTATCAGTTCCCTACAGAAGGCTGAGAGCCAGCCCTTGACAGGGTGACAGGAGTGAGGCAAGCTATAATGTTCATTATCTCAGCACTGCTGGCGTGCATGACATCATTGTCAATTCAAGTACGGTACGGCACTACCACCGGAAGGGCGTTTCTGATCAGCCCCACCAACGACTTGGCATTTCTGTGGAATGCCCCAAGTTTATCCTTCACATACAGTGTTTCCAAGTCTCCATCCCCAAACAGAGATCTTCAAGAAGATGGTCACAGTGTACGGCAGCCCCTCTCCCAAAGGGAGTGGCACTATTAAAAGGTGTGGCTTTGTTGGAGTGGGTGTGGCCTAATTGGAGGGAGTGTGTCACTGTCAGGGCGGGCTCCTGGCTTTGAGGTCTCCCATTCTCAGTTCATTTCCTGTTTCCTGCACGATATAGAATTCTCAGCTACCTCTCCAGCACCATGGCTGCCTGCACACAATCTTGTCCCACCGAACCTCTGAACTGTAAGCCACCCAATTAAATGTTTTCCTTCATAAGACAGACTTTGATGACCCCTCCCTCCATGGAAAGCCTCACTCTATGGAGCAGAACAGGGATGAGATGAGGGGTTGGTAGGGGGTATGGGAGGGTGAGGGAACTGGGATTGAGTGTTAATTACAGTTAAAAAAGAAAAAAGAAAAAAAAAAAAAAAGAGGACTTGCCGTAGTCATGGTTTCTCTTCATAGCAATAGGACATTGACTAAAACAAAAGTCCTTTAAAAAAAAGAAGTTCTGTGTCACCACATCCGAATCTTCTTCACGGAAATCCCTTCTAGAGACTAACGACCACACTGGCCAATCAGTCTCCTAAAAGCCAAGTCCATTCCTATTATATTTTAATCTTAAGCTAAGATCTGGCCCAGAGATGAGAAGGGATTATCATTCAGGCTCACTCATCTCACCATGTGATGCCCCCTCAGATACGCCATCAGTGAGGGACACGGGAACTGGAGTGCTCACCTTCTATTGCATCTCAAGTACTGTTCTCCACTCCTTAACAGTGTTTATTACATGCAGGACTAAAATGTGTTTGTATCCAGCAAGTTCCACCCAGAGGCTAAACATAAAATACAGAGCAATTGTGATGTTGAGCTAAACAGTCCGGAAGTATGCTCTGTCCGGCAGATGTTTTACCTCATTAGAGCCCTTACCCAGGGTTACAAGTGAAGCTAATGGTGTTGGGGTATTCAAACGTTGTATAGCGTACAACTCCATTTTCTAAGACTCCAGCAAAAGGACAGACTCTGGCTGCGATCGAAAGAGAAAAACTAGTAAGTTTCTGTTGAAGTACAAAGATGTACTTCCATCCTTGATCCAGTAACTAAGACAGTGATCAAAATAAGACAATTAATACATGTATCCAGATAGTCTTTATAACACAATTTGCACAGTCATTGTTATGGGATTGCTTTAATTAGACAAACTAAACCACCGATTGAACTATTGTGCAGTCAATGAAACAGATTGTAAAGGTTATAGAGACAATCTATTTTTATAATATGCTGATAAAAATAGAAAAACAAAATTAAATATATTCTCTACAATGATGCAAAAGGCATATGGAAAATATGTTAAAATGACACTATTAGTGATCAGAGTTATTGCTGATTTAAAGTGGATTTTCATGCTTAAGGGCTAGGAGCGTAGCTTGGTGTTGGCTCACATAATTAGCCTATATAAATCTCTAGATTTAATCCATAGTGCCTCAAAAAAAACACTTAGATTTATAAAAATAAGGAACAAATTTGAATCACTTGCAAGAACATATGATAAAGGTCATATCTATATAATAAAAATAATTAGAGCCCTGATTTATCCACCTAGCTATTTTTACTACTGTACAAGACTGCCAGAAGCTCAATCTGGTTGACTGCTTAATATTTTATATAAAAATTAAGCTAAGTGTTAGGTGTGGTGGTTTACCCCTCTAATCCCAGCACTCAGGAGGCAGAGGCAGGGGGATCAGAAGTTCAAGGTCATCCTCAGCTGCCTGGTAAATTTAAGGATAACTGGAATACATGACACCAAGTTTTAAAAAAATTTATACATAACTTAGATTCAGTTATACTCTGCTCAGTGAATATGAAGTATGCTTCCATTCTGGGGCAAAGTCCAAAGATGTGATCATTTCCCAAGTCCTGTTTACCCATGAATCTCTTTGGCAACTGTTTTTTTTTTTTTTTTTTTTTTTTTTGTTCTTGTTGTTGTTCTTGTAACTTGTGTCATGCTTGCCTCTCCACTAATCAATCCAGGTCTCTCTCTCTCTCCCTCTTCTTTAGGTGTTCTCCCCCCCTCCCCAGCTCTGTGCACCCTGAGCAGGATGAGATAGCTTTTCCCACCAAATACCCAGAACCCAATAGAGGGGAGACATGGAGAGAAGTTTCAGACTTACGTATACATTTCAGGGTGTTAATGGGCCACATCCCTGTGAGAGGACAAGTAAACCGTCTCATCCCTCCTCGGGATACATAGCCTGGCTTGCAGGAGTAGACAATCTGTTCCCCTGGGTAATAGAACGTTTTTAACGGAACAACCACAGCAAATGGTAAGTCATCTGGCTTGGGACAGGCTGAAACAGAACACGAGACAGATGGCTAAAAAATAAAAACCTCTCAATTCACATTTTTAAGGTCATCCAGCATGTAAGGAAAGCACACTGCAAATTATAGGTCTACCCAATTCCATACCAAATACTTCCTATACCAAATCTCATCTGACTTCAATGGCCATTTGAAGGAGGCCCTACTGTTATTTACATATTACAGGTCAGTGTGCTGGGGCTTAAATTGGCTGACTATCCTGCTAACGAGCTTTAAGAACAGCAGTAAGTATCAGTGCCATCTCTAGCATCCATTCTGACTTGAAAGCCATCATTATTAATCCCTGACACAAACCCATGGGTTAGAGATAATATTCTCACAAAGGCAAGAAGTACTCACTCTGTCCTGCAATAGCAACATGGCAGAGGAAAGTAGAGAGCAAGATGAGCACCGGGGAAATCATCGTGGATGGGTCTCACCAGCTTCACCAAAGCTGTGTTCTCCGCTGAAGAGAGACATGCAAACACAGAGGAGCTTAAATATTAAACCACTTTGGGGATGTACTTTTATTTCTGTAAACAGAAGCTAAATTGCTGTGCTTTGGAAAGAACTAAGAGAATTCCATTTTTTTTAATCATTTACTCCACTCCCATGAGTCTATTGAGAAATCTTTGGTGGGTGCTTTCTTCAATATAGCATAGCTTCTTCTTTGTATCACAAATAGTTCATTATTGCCAACAAAAGAATCTTGGTGACTACTGTCTGGGCATCTCGTTCTCCACTTTTTTTTCCTTACTCTGTGTTTTGATATGTTATAGATAGATCACCAAAAGATTGAAGCTCCTGTTTCACTCTGTGTTCTTCATAAATGAAGTCATGGCAATCCTCTACTCTGTTCCTGGGGCCAGTCCCCCGGCTCAGGTATTAAGAGCATTACCTTCAGGCAGAGGACCCAGGGCTCACTCACATCAGGGGGCTCACAACCATGTGTAACTCCACTTCTGGAGGACCTTATATCCTCTTATGGCCTTCAAGGACACCTACACACACAAGGTGCACATAAATTCATACAGGCATACACACTTGAGTAAAGACTAAAATAAGTGAAATGGTGTTCCACTTTGTACATAAAGGAGCCTAAAGAATATCTTCAAGGAGTTGCCTTCCACTTCAATGGATCCCAAACTGAACTCAACATCTGTCAACACACACACACACACACACACACACACACACACACATACCACACACACACAGTTTCTTCCTAATTCACCTTTTAGCAGCTATTTATAACAAGATCTTCCTGGCCATTCAAATTGAGACAGTGGAGATGTTCTTGACCTCCTTAGTCTTCTCTCATGTCAAGTTAGCATACACTGATGCCACTCATGTCTGTCTAGGCATCTTCCCTTTTTAGGGGCTGGAGGTTGATATGAATTCACAAGTTAGGACTCAGTTGAGTAGGAGAAGAGAACTAGACCAACACTGATGATGATGTCTGGGAGATCTCAGAGCAATTATGCACCCATAGCTCTATGATACGTTTTTCACTCCAAGAGACATGAATACATGTATGGACAATGGCTGGGTTGTTATGACTGTAGAAGCATGATCCACAATCTCTGTAGCAAGCAGTCTAAGAAGCCGTACAACACACACCTCTGTAGCAATTGGTTCTCAAAATGTTGTGGGTCACAACCCTTTTGGAGGTCAGGGATAGCCCTTTCATGGGGGTCTCCTAAGACTATCAGAAAACACAGTTATTTATATTACTATCCATAACAGTAGCAAAATTATAGTTATGAAGTAGCAATGGAAATAATTTTATGGCTGGGGGTCACCACAACATGAAGAACCATATTAAAGGGTTGCAGCATTAGGAAGACTGAGAACCAATTACGTAGGATGTCCCACATCCAGTTAACTTACCATCATACATACATGCTATGCCAACAACCAACCAAGCCTTCTTCCCCCTTTTGTGTTACGAGCCTTCCCACTCTTCTATCTCATTTTGAGTCTCTGCCAGATACTAATGTTACAAGCTGATTCTTCTGCTTCAGTAAATTCTGAAAAACTAACAACTGCCTCTTATTAGCTAGGGGGTCTTGCTCTGTATCCACACACATAAACTTCCTCAATAGATTGCTTGAGAAACACTCCCATCACAGAGTGATTCTCAAACCAAGCTTCTAATGAACAATGTGTTCTAATGACAAGGAGAAAAGTGGACTTCAACTACCATAAAATAGTGGTGACCTCTTGCTGGCAGCATAACTCCCAGGTTCTGCTTTATCGTGGAAAATTCCTGTGGTGGGTGGAGAAAACACTAATGAAGAGAAGATGGGCCACGTTGTTCTACATAATGAAGATGGAGAATGAGGGAAAGCCAATAATGGGATGAGCATGGAGGGGGGATGGGGGAAGTGTGATGCAGATCTTGCTAATGAAGTTGTAAACCAAGTGATCTGGCCTTCTGAGGTGTAATGATGGGAGACCGGGTTTAATGATGTTGGTTAACAGATGAATTATCTTGCATGAGAGAATATTTTAGAAGGATAGAAATACTTCCCCATTTTATTTTAGGCAACAATATTTGAGTGCGTTCAATTCTCATTGAACTAAACATTTAAGACCCATGAATTTTCTTGATTACAAACCAGTACACTTCTTCCTTCCTAAAAAACACACAGAGTCTGGAGAGAGGGGTCAGAGGTTAAGAGCACTGACTGCTTACTCTCCCAAAGACTGAATTGGATTCCCAGCACCCAGTGGCTCATAACTAACTCCAGTTCCAGAGGATCTGATGCCCTCTTCTGGCCTCCATGGGTACTGCAAACACCTGGTACACAGACATTAGGTACAGGAGAAACACCTATATGCATAAAATTAAATTAACTTTAAAAATGAACAGAGAGTTTTATCTAACAGGAAGGTGACAACAAACAATACTGTAGGGATACTGGAATTTGAAAAACATGACTTGAAATATCGTAAAAATTTTAATTCTGCCAAGAAATATCAATAGATGGTGGAACTAAGGGACCCAAGTAGAATGAGAAATGAAATACACAGTTCTAAAAGTGTTTTGCAAAGGAGTAAAAGAGGCATTTGTCTGGGAAGAACCTAGAAGGCACCATCTTGACCAAGTAATCAAAATTAAAGTGTTAATTAGTGGGGATAATTGGCCCAGTGTACTCCCCCATTTTCTTCTGGGTGCAGTGAAAGGACAGTATCTCCTCTGTATTGTTCCTGCTAACCCAGAGACCCTGAGTTACATCACAAGAAACCTTGGGCATAGCCGTGTGGAAGGACACTGCAAGATGGCCGTCCTGTAAATCCTTCCAACAGGGGAAGACTATGAAGAGCAGAGAACAGATAGATTGGGGAGGATGAGGGGAGCAGACAGCCTGACTCTTGCTGTAAAATCCTGGGGGAACATTTGATGGTGTTTGAATGGGACTCGCTGGGTTAGGAGTACACAGAAGCCTCTTGTCCTGTCCCTGCAGTTTTCCAATACGGATGAAATGGAAGTTATTTTAGAGTACCCAACAGATACTTTAAACGTTGTAATCATGAAGGCTTTATTTTTAGGATTTCAAAAAGAACAGAGAAGACATATTCCTTTGTGGTTCCCTTGAAAGTCTGAGGGTTCGGGACAGGGTTCAGTCATTGCGTTTAGTTGTGCAATCAATAGCGAGCCCACCAGGCTCCAGTGTCAAGTTCCAAACCTATGGCCACAAGCATGGCCTTGGTGAAAAATCAATGGCTCACAAATAAACAAGGCATGAATGTGGGGAAAGGACTTGTAGGGAGGAGGGTGGAGTAGCAGGGGCAGGAGAGATAAGATGGGGTGCGGACTGAGAGTAACTAGCAGGCATTATATACATTCATGAAGTTGCCAAAGAATAAATTTAATAAGTAAAACGTCTTCAATGAATTGTTTGAGATATTATGGAGTTTTTGTTTTGTTTGTTAATTTGAGTGCTGGAGATGGAACTTGGGGCTTGGTGCATGCTAAGCACTCATCTGCCACTGAGCTATATGCTAAGATAACGACTCGGTTATTTTAAGTTTATTTATTTTATCCTCTATCTATGTGTGTTTGCCCACTTGTATGTATGTGCATCACACGTGTGTCCAGTGCTTGTAAAGGTTAGAAGAGGATATTGCATCTCCTGAAACTTGAATTATGGATGCTTATGAATCACCAGGTGGGTGCTGGGAACCAGACCTCGATTTTCTGCATGACCAACAAGTGCCTTAACCACTGAGCTGTCTCCTTCTCTGGTCACACAAAGCATTATCCTTAAACCATGTTGTAATATGAGTCCCCAAACATTGTTTGTATCAACCCTAAAAACGATGAGACGTTTGGCATTTTCTCACTTGTGTTTGTCTTGCCTCACTTTCTCCCAAGATTCTCTGTCCCCATTTGTCAGCTACTGAACTTAGGGAAATGATATCGGTGTGGGAACAGCGTCTTTGAGAGTGACAGGAAATTTCTCAAGGAGCTAAAATCCCAGACACTCAAAACCACCCCACGTTGGTAGCTTTGCGGTTCTTGCCTTATGAGCTGGGTGAATAAAATTCATGGACCATGAAAGATAAGTCATATAGAGAAAAGTTCATTACCGATTCATAGGTGGATGCGCAAGAAGAAGAAGAAAAGAGGATGTGGAAAGAGAGGACAGGGACAGGGAGTGGTCCCAGGAAATAAGGTGCCAGCGAGCCCCGCCGACGTGGCATTGATAAGGCTTCACTGGCTGGAGGAACTGGGTTTGAGCTGGCCGGTCCAGTTCCCATTGAGGTGCCTTCCAGTCTTAGCCATAACCTTAATTAACATGGTTTCCCTTTATGGGAAAAGAAATATATAAAAACTACCCCCTTCTGGTGTCTGCTTTTTTCTGGCTACAATGGAACTGGAGACATCTGGGCTGAAACACTTGGAGCATCTCTGGTCTCCAGCTCCTAAAGTTCCAAGGACATTCCCAGCTTTTAGATGAGAAACTGGTCATTTTTCTTCAGGGCCCTAAACCACCTAGCCAGTTCCTACCTCCCATTCTCACCAATGTGACACAACAGTCACAAGGAAATGAAGGAAGAATCAGATCAAACTTAGACTAGCAGGGAGTTGCATGTGCTTATAGTTATTTTTAATTCCTGCCTGGTTAAAAAAAAAATCCCCTATTTCTACAATTAAATGCTAAGATCATCTGCATAATTAATAAATGAAGATGATTCTTAGTCCTGGATGTTTTTACCACTGGAATGGCTGGGAACTACAAACTGTTCCCAGAGCTCTTCCAAAAATACTTGTGGGGCTGGCGAAAGCTCTTTAGAGGAGAAATGGGATGGGTAGCATTCAGTGGTTTCCATTATCCAGTTTGGGATGAGTTACTCTGTGTAACCAGCGTCATGCAATTTTTCTATTGATTGTATTCCTTTCCATATATTTCAGCTCAAATTCTAAACACTAGCCCAGGCTAGTTGAGCATCTGGCTGGTAATGGATAACAAATGTCATTGTAACGGTACATTGAGATTTAGTTTGTCAAAC